TCTAGAACACAGACACACATTCAGACGCCCCACAATGGTAGTATTTCTCGACCTTAAGGCGGCATTCGACTCTGTTGATCGTGAGGTTCTATGGCAGTGACAAACACTGCCATAGGAGTACAAAAAAGTACATTAACCTTATAAAGGCTCTCTACTCGAAAACAACTGGTAGAGTGAGAGCTTATGGCGAACTGTCATCAGAATTGATTACCTCAAGTGGTGTTCGTCAGGGCTGTCCACTCTCCCCATTCTTGTTCAACTTTGTGGTCGACGTACTTTTAGAGATAACACTCTCCTCATCTAAATTTCCAGGGCTTGAACTTCTACCAGGAGGTTCACTTGTTGACTTAGAATATGCAGATGACATAGTTTTATTTGGTGAAGACGCTGACAAAATACAGTCTTCTGACCACCCTAATCAACAATGCAAGCATGTTCGGGATGCGATTCTCTCCCTCGAAATGCAAAATGTTGCTTCAGGATTGGGTTGCATTGACACCCGAACCAGTGATAGGGAGTGAAGTAGTTGAGTGTGTCGACCGCTTCACTTATCTTGGAAGTCTCATCAGCCCTTGTGGTTTGGTGTGTGACGAAATCTCAGCACGGATACAGAAGGCTCGACTAGCTTTTACCAACTTGCGTCATTTATGGCGTAGGCGAGATATCCGTCTATCAACCAAAGGACGTGTTTACTGTGCAGCAGTTCGTTCCGTCCTACTTTATGGCAGTGAAACATGGCTGGTCAGAGTAGAGGATATTCGTAGGTTACTAGTATTCGATCATAGGTGTCTTCGAAATATTGCTCGTATATCATGGGACCATCGAGTAAGTAACACAGTTGTTAGGAAACGGGTACTAGGTAAGGATGGCAAATCAATTGATGAAGTAGTGAAACTTGATCAGTTGAGATGGCTGGGACACGTGTCACGTATGCCCAACGACCGACTGCCTCGACGTGCTATGTTCAGTGGTATAGGAGTAGGTTGGAAGAAAGCTAGGGGCGGCCAAACCAAAACATGGCACAAGTCCATGAAGTCACTGACAAGTGAACTGAGTCATGTTGGTAGGTGTAGACTACCTGGTTGGGGACCACGAGATGATAGCAACCGGTGGTTAGAGACCCTGAATGGCATGGCTCAAAATCGTTTTCAATGGCGCAGGTGCATCCACTCTTTGTGTTCTCCCAAATTCTAATCTTCTGAATTCTTCATGTGCCTTTTTTCCTCTTTCCAAATTTATTTCACTGGATTATACTCTTTAAATAACATCTCCAAACCCTTATCTTCCCGATCACTGCTTATACTCTTATTACCTCTACCACTACGGGATTTGAATCGACAACTGCATCTCTGTGCTAATGTGGTGTGGCAACTCGAACTGATGTACGTACGTACGAAGTTCTACGTTGTTACTGACTGACTGGTTCATACGCCATTTGTTCTCGCAGGATACTGGAGCCCATGTGCACCACTGATTTGGTTTGGGATCCGGTTAAAGCGTCGTACATTCTCTTTTCGTCCTCTCATTTTCGTAAACAACATCCCCGCCACGAAAAGGCAGTGAGTAGGACTTCTCTGGCAGAGGCTGTAGACGCGTGGCCGTGTGGGAGTATTTCGAGAAGGAGGGCGGCCCACCCCACTCTCGGTCATACCAGGGCATTTCAAACAAACTCGCAATATTGCGAATGAATAATACAGTGAAGAATGGTAGAATAAATAAACAAATAAATAATAGTATTTATTGAGAGATGAGATCCAGTTGAAAACATAGCAAAAAGTAAACTCAACTGAGTTCATTTCACTTTTATAGTTCTATAGAAAACTTCTGCAGACCCGCCTCTGGTTTGTATTTTAAGACATACCTGGTAACGTCTCAAGCCTCTGAGTTGCACGGTGTGTAGGAAATCAACCAATAAGTCGTGATAGACCTGTAGGTGCTATTCCCACACAAATACCCTTTATATCGCTCGCCATGTTGTAAACAGACCTCTTTTTTTATACACAGTCTCGATAATTCACAATATGGAAGTTGCTGGGCTACATTTGTAAAGCAAGATTAAGCCACTAAAGTCGGTGTTTCAAGAGGGTGACTGATTGAATTATTGTCGCCATCCGAATGGCATTAATGACACGGTTCTGCTATTGGATCTAAACAGTCAAACACAGAACCTCAAAAAATACTCAACTCGCAGGTTCAGGTTTCACAAGTATAGGGCAGGTCTGTTTTCACTAACGTGATGTAAACTCGACCTTTTACAGCCGGAATAAAAACACAGAGATAGGAAGATATAAAGCTCATGAAGCTTCAAGTTTTTTACTGGTAGATTAGGTGATCCGGAACAGCTGTTAATGGGTACATGCACCAACTTTTGCTGCCTAGTATGTTCTGATCACCGGGCCTCTTAGGATGAATTTCGGAGCTTTTAAGTTACTCAACGTTTTCGTCGTGAAAAATGGGACAGTTTCAATTGTGCTGATCAATATAAAGTAATTCACGGAAAGTAAATCTGGGTAATCTACGTTTTACAGATTTATGGTTGTTAGATAAACTGCACTTCGTGATTTTGATGCTGATAAAATTATCAAGCTGTTGATCAAAATACCCTGAAGCCATAATTGAGCAGTTACCCTAGAGAGTACCCTGCACTGTTTATAATTTTAAATAAGAAATCATTGCGTTTTTAACTTGACTCAATAAAATATAACTGCCCAGCATTGCAGTTAATATACTTATTTCACCTGCCTTTTTATGCTAAAATCTAACCGTAAACAAAGGTTTATAAAGTATTTTAAACCCCATCCTTTTTGTTTTGGTTAAGTCAACATTTTGTTTTTGGGTGTATGACGTACACCTTAAACGGATAATCTTCGGTTGTGGGTAGTGAAAGTTACGTTTAATTAAAGAATACTTGTAAGCCAACTGCTCCGCATTGAACAATCAGTCAGCCAGTCATCAACAACGTAAAAATTCGTACGTACGTATATTAGTTCGAATTGCCATACCACATTAGCACAGATACGCAATTGTCAATGCGAATCCCGTAGTGGTAGAGGTAGTAAAAGTATAAGCAGTAACCGGAAAGATTAGGCTTTGAAGATGTTATTCAAAGAGTATAATCCAGTGAAATAAACTTGAAAAGAGGAAAAAAGGGACATGAAGAATTCAGAAGATTAGAATTTGGGAGAACAACTAGATTATAGTCATAGTTAAGCAGATGAGAAGTTTTGTCATATTTCAACAACCAGCTCGATCATCAAGTTATTTTCTCACAAATGCGGTTTTCCTATCTATAATCTATACCTCTCTTCATCATGTTATCAGCTAGCGAAATGACAAAATAGTTCGTTTCACACAAATTATATATATGTATTAACTGTAGCAATGTAATAAAATTGAGACAACTGAAATCCTAAAAAAATAATTGTATTTAGGATTTTTCCGAATACTGTGATGAGAAAACCAAGGTTGTCAAAATTATGTGATATATTTGCGCAATATATTTCGAAATCTGATCATACATTTACTTGTGGGTTAGACCTTTAGGCCAAAGGCTCGGGGCGTGGCCCCCTAAGAAAACCACCTGCTTCGGTTTGGGCACCCGGGCAGTATTACACCCCATACACAGCATGAAATGACAATACTTACGGAAAATACTATACTTGCTTCGATTAACAGATTTGTGTGGCGCATATATGTTTGATGCCATCTTGTACCAATATTTATGTGTTCAAATAAATAAATAAATAATAAGCTTCAGTAAACTTCAGTGTACGTCCCTGAATACATTTGTACAAAGCTATAAGGGCTGGATTGATATCAACATTATGACCGGTTTCAATTAAATTTTTCACATTAAAGGAAAATGTTTGTCTATCCTGCGATCTTATTTGACCATTGGAGTTCATTTTTTTCTGTAGTCACTTGGGTTTGTGTTCAGTCATCCTTACTTGCAGCTTACGACCTGTCTTCCCTATTCACATGTGTCCACACATATATGTAAAGTAATAGACGCAATGGGATATGATGTCGCTTACATGTTGTTTGGGTTTTCAGTGAAACATATGCTTTGATTATTCCATAATGACGAGTTAGAGTGCATAGGATGTCCCGTTGATGGCTAATTTAAGCTTCAACATGAGACTATTTGAGTCACCTCTAAATGATTAGGTGGTAGACTCGTTTTCCGGGTGCCGGAAACGTCATGGGTCTCATCGTATTTCTACCAACGGTTTGTAAACCCGAATGAATAACAGTTATTAAGTTTCCAGTTTAGAGCTTCGTGTCTCCTTCAATAATATCACTAGTACAAACACGATTGATCCCATTTAGTAAGCCCTTTATTAATCCACGTTTGTAATGGGTTGGACAACAACTATGGAAGTTAAGAGATTGCTCTGTCCATGTCGAGTTTCTATGTACAGAACGTTTGATCAAGCCATCATCTCTTCTACTAATCATTATGTCCAGAAAAGGGAGCAGGTTATTCATCTCTTTTTCGCATTTTAGAGGAATATGCTTTTGACTTGTGTTGATTTCTTTGAACAAGCGGTTCACAGCTTCACTTTTATCACCTGTGACTAGTATGTCATCCACGTACCATTTATACAGACACATCTTTTGAATTGAGTCTTTAACTAGACTATCCACATATCGACCAACAATGATCCTGAAGGACTACCCATAGCTTCGCCATCAATCTGTCGAAAATGCTCACCTTCGAAAGCGGGTCTCATATCGTGAGTATATTTCTTTAAACATAAACATTAATACAAAAAGGCATCAAATATATATGCACCACACATTGTCAGTACATAATAATAATAATGATAAAACTTTAAGTTTTTACAGGGAATGGCAATGAATGGTTATTCAAAGAAATATAATCACACAAAATATTATGTTTATAATACAAATTCAAAAATACTTGCTTGTTGAACATATCATTTTATACGAAAAGTTAGTTTCTATGCTCTTGAACTTGCTTTTTTTTGTAACTCTAGGATCAAGTAGAGAATCTTTTTAAACATGAAATCGATCAGATCGGGCTAACTGAGTCCTACTTCAAACTTTTCTCCGATGTCCAAAAGTTACAGCATGAATTTGGAAAGAAACTAAGGTAAAGTAACATTTTATTACCATTCATTTTCGATTTCTATAGGAAAACGGTTTCTGTATATTTACCGAGGAAGAAACCCGATGTTGACGAATTATCTTCCGTTCTGACATATTCAAGTATCGTTCCACAGATACTTGAAATGGGTGTAACACATGAGGCTAGTTCCAAAAAACTTAATGAATCTGTTGTCAATCCATTGAAAACTCAAGTCGAAAATGAGAAGAGATCCTTGGAAAAACAGCGTTCTCATTGGTCAAAGCTAAACGCGACCATAGAACAGTCGCGTAAACAGTTAGAATTAAGCTGGCAAAAGTATGTAACCAATTTCAAAGAAAGGCAGAAAGCATATGAGGTTTCGGAAAAGGCTCAAAACGATATCCAACTAGCGCGGGTCGATCAACAGAAGGTGGGTTTATTATTTATTGTTACATCGGTGGTAAATTTGACCCACACTCTAGAGTTTTGTTTTTGTCAGTATGATGTTATATTTCATTTTTTCCTATAAAGTTGGTTGTAGTCCATGGTGATGTGTGTACATATTTTTAAAATTCGAGTGATTACTAAGCACAAATATCTTATAGATGTTATAAGTTTAATACCATGACAAATGCTGAGTAATGGACCCTCACTTAGGCCATTCGAGTAAGTAAATCTTTTATTAGTGACGTGGTCAAAAGACTTAATTTCCTTGCTTCCTATCATGAAAATCTGAATACCCACCAGTTTGTGGTACATGAGCCATCCAAATGCATGTCCTATACTTCAGTTAATTGCTAGTAACTGGCAGTCAGTTCCTTTGTATAGTTTTCGTAGGACTTATTTTCACATGCTACTGTTCGGAATGGGATGTTAAAGCTTTAAATATATGTTTTACATATTTCGTTAGTAGTGGCTTATTGGTTAAGGTAATCGACTTTCAACCATTAGATCACAGGTTCGAAGCCTTTTCTAGCTGCTTTGACTAGGACAACCGGATAGTATCGTTAGTCTTCACATCAGCATGTGGCATAAAGCTAAAAACAGAAACCTATACTTACCAGATGGGTTACATTATTTATTATTGTTTCATTAACATACAATGACCTTGTAACATCGTTTAAAGTGCATTTTTGAAATGCCGTAATTATAATAGGTAATCGGTAAATTATAATCTGATGCCACGTGAAAGTAACATAGGAGTGTTAATCTGGGATAGCGTGTACAATTAGATGGATTTTATGAACATAGTATGAATTATATTAATACCAAACAGTTATTTTTAAGCTCACAATATTTCTGTATTGGTTGTCTTACAACTTTTGTCTAGTTTGAAGCTCTTTATCAAAGTAAAATGCAGTCTTTTGATCAAGCTAGTAGAAATTACGTCGATGAATTAGCTAAATACAATATAGCCAATCGACGTTACTTCAGCACAGATATAGTGACTTTTGTAGATGATATGGAATGTTCAAGTCGTATGCGAAATAATCGTACTCGTGAACTTTTACTGATGGTCACCCGCATTAATGAAGAAACAATTTCTAAACTTACTAGCTGCAACAAGCTGATTTCTGAGGCTGTTTCTGCTCTTGATTCCTCCTATGTAAGTTTTTCTTTTAAAAAATTGTTTCTTTTAGTGAGTTTACCACATTTTTATTAATTCCAACAAATGTTTGGTCTTTTAATTTTTCTACGCTGTTACAAAATATTCTTGTTTTTTATTGTAAATTTCACGAGGTTTATTTAACGTAATCCATTGAATATGCCATCTGAATTTGAAATTATGTATCCATTTACAAGATCTTCAGTAAATATATGGAGCAATTTATTTTGTGATTTGGAAGTTTGTAAAAAATATTACAAATTCCGCCAACGTTAGCACAGAGTATTCCTACACATTATTCTGTGTATATTAAAACAATTTAGAATCGATTTACATAGGCATCTGCTGTTTCTAGTAACTTATGTTAAATTGATTCATTAGAACAAATTATAAAAACATCACGACAATGTTTATATCAGTAAGAAATTAGAAAATTATTTGAGTTGTGCTTGATGTTTATCGAAATGCATGGTCTGATGTCATAAAATATATAATAATGTATCGTAAAGTTTTTATCTCGGATATATCAGACAATGATAGCTTACTTATGAATGTTCCCAATGTAAATTAATCTTCTAAAACTAAACATTCTGTTTTTTTTGTACGACAGTATTTTTCGTGTAATTTATCACTACTAAGTCACATAATTAGAAAATTAACATTTGTTATAGTTTTTATTTATCTATTTCAACACATAGATAATGGTACAAAGAGGCACCAAATTTATATGCGCCACACAAATCTCATTTGATATGTGTGAGGGCTGTGATACTGCCCGGGTACCCAAACCGAAGCACGTGGTTTTCTTAGGGGGCCACACCCGGAGCCTTCGACCTGAAGGTCTGATCCACAAGGCAGTGGAGCATCGTGAGGAGATGCAGTCCCATGGAAGCCGGTGACCAACAATTGGTTCATACGCCATTTGTTCCCGCAGGATACTGGAGCTCATGTGCACCACTGATTTGGTTTGGGATCCAATTAAAGCGCTGGAAATTCACTTTTCGTCCTCTCATTTTCGTAAACAACACCCGCGCCACGAGAAGGCAGTGAGTAGGACTTCTCTGGCAGAGGCTATATACGCCTGGCCATGTGGGGGCATTTTGAGACGGAGAGTGGACTCTCCTCACTCTCGGCCGTACCAGGGCATTTGGGGGCATTTGTTATAGTACCTACATTTATTTAAAGTGTAAATGTTGGTTAGTCGATTGGTTCTTGTATCTGATTGTGTGAACTGTGTTTACAGTAAACAACTTGGGTTATATATATATATATATATAAACTTATTATCTATTCAATATGTGTATTATGTAAACTTTTGTGTTGTTCACATGACTTATCCTTTTACAGGACTCAGCTAAGGTAATAAAGAGGTTGCATACAGATGAACAACCTCCTGCTGATTTACCATTCCTTGATTTGGATAAATGTCCTCCAGGTATTTTGGATGGTTCTGTCTCAGAACTGGGAGCTTTAATACTTGGTGTCGAGTCAGCAGAATGTTCAAATCAGTTAAATAACTCAGGAAGTGCTATTTCAGGAAGCGGGATGATGAGTGGACTCATTCGGTCTACTCACAAGAATTCAAAAGATGAATATCTTAGTTTACGCTCACCATTTATTTGTGGCATTAGTGTAAAAAGTATAAAAGTAAGTTTAAAAAATGTACTTTTATAAATGTACGTTATTCCACAAATACAGACTACCTGGTTCGGATCTGGGTGATAACTGCGGTTAGAGACTGGGCGACATAATTCAGAATCGTCCACAATAACACAAGTTCACTCATTGGTTGTCTTATTGGATTCTAAGTTTCCAAATCACCTCATAAAAACGTTTTTCCTTTTTTATTTCATAAATCTGTATTTTCTCGAATAATATCTTCAATGCCTAGTCTTTTCTATCCTTTCTAAGATTGCTACTGCATCTAACACTCTAGTATTTGCTTTGAGAATTTCATTTCACCGTGCAGATGAGGTGTGTGACAACCTGAACCGATGCACTCATTCGTCTATGTTGCATATGGCTGATCGACTGACTTCACCAGGCACTAACTAAACTGACACTAATCAGTTTCTTCATCGTCTTCAAAATTTTTAAAACGATACCACTGTATAATGGTAACTACGTTGAAAATCATATTATAACTCTATTATGAGTCATGAGTAATGAGTATATTTATGTGGTCGAATTTCTTTCAATTGTAGTGCTTCTCACCTTGGTATTTTCTGAATAGTTGTTTAAAGTTTAAGGGGTCACAATTGATCTATCTATGTGGCCAGAAAAGTTTGAACTAGACCACTGTACCACACCATTAATAGTTTTGACTCAAAACTTGTAGAGTAACTGAAGATTTGACAAACGATTATGTTAATTGGTGTAAGTAGCCGTCAATCAGTGATCGAATTACGATATAACTTTTATAGAGTTACAATCTGAAGTATAATTACATCCATTATATATGATTATTAATTTCTTCAGTAGTATTTTGTTTGTCATCATAATAGACCCACAGACAAATACAATGACATGAAATTTGTTTCTGAAGTGCATTGGTCAATACTTTCTACAACTGTGGGAATGTGTTTACATGGGTAAAGTGGCGTAACTAGTAGTGAACATGTAAATGACAAACCAGTGTACTGATGATTGAATATAGTAAAAGTGAATCTATAACATCCTGATTGGCATTTAGTCTTTGACCATTGATGTTTATCAATACAAAGGCATTACCCCAGCACACCTACCTATGCGACTCAAATTAGGTGCTAGTGTTAAACTGGACTGGTCGAACTTCGACATATATTCACCCTGAAACTCTTTTATTCGGCTTACTTTACACTTTTTTCTACGTATTTTCATTTCAACCGTAATGTTCTTTTCATTTCTCATTTGCATGGGTGGAAAATTTTCAAAGATAAGATATGGTTCTTGATGATTTGTGTTCATTTAATAAAATGCTTTTGATATTTCAATATTCTTAGTATTTTCATGTTCTTCTGGTGAATGTTAACATGTATATATGGTTATCATGAATTGGCGAAGCTAAAGTAACCAAATCTCATTGATATGCTATTAATTGTGGACACTGATCTGTTCATGGATGATATCAACCTTGTGTGGAATTATAACTTTCCTAAATGTAATTGTTGAACAATGGGTCAGTAATTTGAACACTTTACTCTCATCTCTCATTATGGGGATTTGTGAAGATTGTAATATTTTCACAGTTGAATTCACGAGTCAGTCTAAACTAGACCACCACTGAAAACCTGGAAGCATTGGACAGCCGTTTCATTTTAGTATGGGACTTCACAGCAGCGCGCATTTACGACCCCGCACGCGAAATTCGAACACTTTAGGGTTGGTGATGAACTATTCCGTTCATTTGACTGATTTTATGTTAAAAATGACATGAACAAATATGCGTAACAGATTTTCAGCAAACCATTGTTCTGTCTGAAATGTTCGTAGATGTTTAAATGTAGTGCTTATTAAATCATTGACATATATCAATTAAGAATTGATGTGTAATTTATAAATCGTAAGCTGTACAAACAATCATTGTCAGACTTTGCAGTATGTTTTTTGGTTTGTGCCTTTCCATAATAAAATAACGAAGTCGTGGCTCTGGTTTTTTACTTACATACTTATATAGTCCAAATAAAAACATGTGAAAAGTATTGTATGTTTTTTATTTTATCTCTTAAATAATTTTGGTAAGTTAACTATCTTTATTCAGTAATTTTACTTTCATTTCAAGAATACAGATTTAACTATCAGACAAGTTGCTGACCGGATAAAAGTACTAAGGGACTTGGTTATGAAGACTGATAATGAACTGTAAGTACTTTATTGTAAAAATTCTTTGAATAAATAATACAGATATGCTCAAACGGTAATTGAAATAGTCAAATTTAATATTTCAGTTCTCCAACATTTTCGTTGGATTGTATCCAGTTGTTGTTAAAGTTGATACTTCACATATGATGATTTAATTAAATAATGCTCTAGACCATTGCAAAACATTTTTTCATCAAATTGTCAATCTATGGACTCTAACTAATTCTCTTTCCAATCTTAAAGGTGTTTGCTTTACTTGACAATTTCTCAAATATCGAAGTTAGATATGTAAACCATGGGATGCCGACCCAATGATCTAAAGGTTAAACACTCACGACGAAACCTGAAGATGCTGGGTTAGACAAAGCAGTTGTCCAGTTCTTTGTGATTTTCAGAGGTTGTCGACGATCAATCCGTGATGTAAACTATAATAATTTTCTTTAAAAGTACTAAGAAGAATACGTTTCTAGTGTCTGGTTAATATTGGAAAGTTGAAAAATATGACCGAAGAGAGCTTGGGACGCGTAAAATCAGTAATGTAGTCACCTTATGCTAGATATTCAAAGGCGATCAATTATTAACTCTCCAAATCTACCATATCATTTACTTAAAGTGTCTTTTTTCTTTAAGTATTAAGGGGTTTAGAGGGTAGTTCTAATCCCTGAAAACTAAAAAAAAATCCATTATTTTTCTCTCAAGATGCTTTTGTAGTTTTTATTTGATTATAACCATGAGAAAACACAAAGAAACAGTCAGGGAACCTGTTAAATCCATTTTTGTAAACTCGCTAATTACACTAATTTGAATGATTGTATCATATGAAGTGGATTCTGAGTAATCAGCTATAATCCCTTCTCTTTAAGTATACCGAGGAAGCCTAATATAATGGTAAAATAATGGTAACAGTTTTATTTACTTGATAGTCATTCCTTTACAGATCTATGATCTGTAAAGGCATTTAAAGAATAAAAAAACGTTTAAACGTACCATCTTATAAAGGATTATTTTGTCAACCATTCAGTTATCTGAAATGTTAGGAGCACTAATTACCTTTCCTTTTAGTTGCCTTAATATTCCACACTTCACAGTGTAAAGCATTGAAATTTTTTTGGTTACCACTAGAATAATGTAACTATATATATTCAGTCTCTTGCCAAATGATCATTATCAAGTGATTGATCTCTACAGTACCTGTTTATTTCATATACACCGTTATTCTGATAGAAATTAATTTTAACTCTTTATTATTTCAACTATGCATTTGATTTCTCTCATTTCGCACACATGGACGTTTCAAAAACATTTTAAATTTACACTTTTGCCTTAAATAAACAAATTTGCACCGATTATCGACTATTAACAACATCAGGTTACACAAACACATACATTAGTTTCATTTCACTTTGTGAAATTTTCGCATGATTCACATTTTACTGACTCATATTTTTTTGCTTACTAAATTCGTTATCTTAATATAATCGGATAAGCTTTTAATGTAGATTTGGTTGTTATACATTATATATTCTTTGACAATTTTGATTTTGATAATTACCCTGAAGAAGTCCAAACAAGATTGCTGGATGAAACATTGGAATTATTTGACTTTCGACCGCTACTGTTATTTCAATCATAATTTTTCATAAACCATGTGTTTCATTATACTCAGTGCCAATTTCTTTCAAACTTTTAGTTCACAGATTGACGTATATTTGTATCAATATATATCACTGTATTGTTGGCTCTATTCCATTTTCACTAATACAAATCCTGTTTTTTTCCATTGTTTCACCATCTAACACACGCTAAACTGTCAATTTGAATATGATTTATATTTTAAGTAAGAAACTATGTCTTCAAGTGTATGACGTTCTATAAGGGATTTAGAAATGTAATAGAATTGAAACAATAGTGATATGTATTATTTATACTTGAGCATAGCATACCTGAATACCTAGATCAGAATTCACATGATCATAGTGATACAAATGTGATTAAAGTATGAATTAATTGTGATTCATGAAAAATCACAGCATTGTAATTTCTACTCAACTCTCGTTTCATACAATTGATACGATCCTGTGTAATGGTAATCATTTTCAACTCATATTGCTTTCTTGTTATTTGGTAAGTAAATCATAGTTATAACACGTTGATTGACTGATTCACGCATAAGTGGCATTATAATTTCTCCCAAAATACGCATATTCATTTGATCAGTCGTATTATTTCATGATATTCTTTTTCAAGATTTGGCAGTTACCTCTGAGGTCACCTATTTACTTTAGCAGGTCAATCAATTGATTATGAACTCGCAGTCATTTCATTAATTTACCAATTAGTTGTTCCATCGTAGCAAAGACGAGTATCAACAGTTCCTTGGTGAAGTGTAATTAACAATCTAGGTTATTTAGCGCACTTATCTAACTGTAAAATGTTTACTTTTTTCTATAGTTATTTTGTAGCTTTATTACAAGCTTGGATATATATACATTTTTATTTTATTTTTAAAGACGAAGTACCGATCGTATGATTGAATCCTGTCGGACAAATCCTAAATTCGGAGATATGGAATGCTTAGTTCGAGCAGGTGCTACTTACAGTAGACGTTTAAATTCTTTAAAGCAACACATTAAAGAACTTGAGGTAACATGCTTCCTGTGGATGTAAATAGTTTTTCTTTGTTATAGAAATAATATCAGATATTAGTTATGACAAATATACTAATCTGCCTTACTCTACCTGCAAATACATGTATGGAAATACGTAGAACTGTAAATGTGAATAATTAAGTAGAAGAAAATTGTCATACCTTAAATAGAAGTTCACTCAATCTTTAATTAATGACAAAGAAACAAAACAGTCTTATTGAAGTTGTTATTTAAAGTTTTGCTCTCCTATTCTCTCGGAAATCAGTGTATATATCGATATATAATATTTATCGGTAAATATTTGTTTAGATTATGGTTTAGCAAATATTAGCTCACTATTCGTCATGACAATTATTTGAGTTCGTATTTTGTTTAACTAATACTAATACTAAAATCAGCTTTTGTTGTAGCGTGAACCATAAACTTACACTTGGTAGATAATGAGAAATCAACAAAGAGTTACGTTTTAAAACATAAAAATCTTGGTTAGTTAATGTTGTATGTTTCATGCTTTGAACAGATATATCATACGAAAAAAGTAAGATGTAAACCGATAGATAAATTGATAAACTAGCTAAAAAATCATTAGTGTTTATGTAATTACTTAATCTGCTCATTTTATTCGAGACCGTGATTGAAAACTATAAACAAATATATTTCAACCGTATATCTATCAAGTGATCAGTCATAAATGACGTAGAATATGGCACACATGTGTATGGACACAAGTTGTCACATCTGAATGTGATGACAAAAGAAAAAAATCAATAGGATAAAAAGATTATAAGAATCCCAATAATGATATTAATAATAAGATTCATGATGGCGAAATGAAAACACAACGAGAGCATTCCATTTATTTTGAAAATAACGGGTTAATGTGTGAACAAAATACAATTATGAACTAACATTCCAATTTAACATCTAGAAAAAGATAAAGATATAAACTACTGTGATTAACGTCAAGCTATAATTTCACCTAATGCGTCTAACCATGGATTACGAATTACCTACTTATCTCGACCATAAAGTCTGCATCTTCAAGTGACTGAGAAAATTTGACGAATACCACCTGATACTGAGTATTCAAGGGGTTCTTAATCGTTTAGACCAGTTTCTTAAAACATTCAAATATTGCAATAAACCTTCGTGTCTCAGATTTGTTTCGGCCAAATAATTACGAATGCTGAGCATACTTACGTGGTTTTACAAAAAGAAGCTTACAACCTACCGCGATGCTTGCTGGAAAACGTAAATGTTGACACCATATTTAATGGAATATTCTCCTCTTTGTTTCTCTTTTGAGGAAACTACCAGTCAGTTACACTAGAATGCATGCATCTAATGTATGGTGGACGAAAGTGAATAGTTGTCTTAGCTGAACTGGTAGAAAGCTTTCTCCATTAAAGATGAATGACAGACACTGACTATTTAAACATAAAATATGTTTTTGAATAATTAGAGTTTGAGTGTAAATTAAAGGGAAGTTTTCTTTAATACTAGATAATTGATGCTGAGTTTTTTAGTGTAATAAAATTAATAATAATATTAGGTACACCGAACGTTAATTTTAGCCTTGTTATTGTTGGTGACACAGAGAATCAAGTCATCCGAATATCTCTTAAACGTTTACTTGTGTAAATGCACGACTAAGTGGATTCGATCTTCAACTTTGAAGCCAAGCGAGTTTTTTTCAGTTTTGGTGGTGTTGAGTGCTGTTGGAAGTATGTGTGGTTATCACTTCCCTGTTGCCCACACCGTAGAAGTGTTCTTCTAGAGGTACCATGAAAGGAAATCGCGTTGGAGTTGGTCTAGTGACCTGATAGCATGACTGCAGTGCCAAAGGGATAGCTGCTTGAGGCCGGTCAAGCACGGCTTTTCGTGAGTAATTTTTGTGTTAGCTCCCTACTTCTTGAAATTTTACCACTGGGAATGGAAATCTGTGGGATTAGGCTATTAATTGGTTTATCAGTTCACATCTTTAACATTTTAGTTAAGAGTTAGAGCATACGAAAATACTACCACTAATTACTTGTTTCTAGATACCTTTTGATCTGAATTATAGATGTTGAGTTCTCTAAGTTTCTATCATTAATTATAATGAAACTATGATTAAGTTGCTCATTAAAAAAATGTGATCATTTTTAGGTGAAATTCAACAATCTAGGTGGTGATCTAGCTTATACAAAAGCTGAATCAATAGCTGAAAAGCTTAGTTCACGTGCTGTAATCAATAATAACACAAATACTTCTAAGGTTCGATCTGTAAATACTAAATCGTAAGTTGATCAGTCTATTGCTTTATTTCTCTTGCTTTTTTTGTATTTAACCAACTTAGTTTTAATTATTTTATACTATAACTATCTATTAATCCTTTGTCAACTAGAATATGATGAATTCTGTTTGTTTGTTTATTTTACGATGGTACTTTAATCAGTTTATTTCTTTCTTCACTCTACACATTAATTGAGAAGTTTCAAGGTCAACACTTTTTATTTCTTAACTCCAGTGTGGTTTTTTTAAAAAAACAAGCAAATACATTCTTACAAAAGTGCACAAATAGTCTTGAACTTATTATAATAGGAATTTAAAAAAAAGAGCAATTCTGTCCGTTTGTTTAACTTGGAAGATATGTTGCTTGTTGGTAACAACTGAACATAAAATATAATGGATACAATTCATTGTGTTACATATAGTGACTGCAATAATGTCATATGGTAGTTAAGTAAGTATAGTGCACTGTGAAGTTTAATACTTCAAGAATGAATTGCATCCAACACACTGGTATTGATGTTTAACTATCCATATACCTCTAGACCGCCTAACATTGTAATAAAATAAAATAAATCTACAAAGACAAGTGAGTGGCGAAAGTCTTAATGGAATATTCTTTATAAATATCAAAGCAAAATCTTGATATAACTGGTTTTCATTAAAACTTGTACTCATAGTTTGCTGAGTTACTTCGATCTATTGTTCTCAGTTGCCGTTGCACGATTGTTAACTCTCATAACCTATTTTTTCGTTATCTAACAAGCTTTTGCATATTGAGATTGAGCATCCACCTGCTAGCAACTAAATGACCATCAACAAATTGACCGTGTTAATACAGTATTAATAATGTCATCAACGCAATAGGCTTTTCGTTAGGTTGTATATTGTTATCTATGTGCAAACATTGATTCTATTTCTATTGACTTGATTTCCTGTTCACTTTTAAATGCATTATTTTGTCTCAATTCACAGTCTTGATGATGATGAAGATGATGATGATGAAAGTGATCATTCATTTGATTCGGACGCTGACATTGCTACGAATAACAGTAAAGATGATAGTACTGTAAACAGCAGTTCGGATCTACACGCAGGAACTCGATATGTTGGCTATGCTTCTGCTCTTTACGAATATGAAGGTAAATAAAATATTAAGGAATCTAAATCATTTTATACTTGTGATGTATTACACAATACCGATATTCATTACACATTTGTTTTGAATGATGTAATTATAGTTGTTGTAAATAGTTTTCTCCAGTCTGTTTATTGTAATTATGCCCATTCAGATTTTGGTCGTTTAAAAATCATATAAGTATTTGTGAAATTCCAAAACACAAAATGATCCAATTATATTTGCTACTATACTGTACAGATAACTCGTCTTGCACTATCTCACACCGTTAAAATATTCCATAGGAAAAACTCAGAAACTGTACAACCAGTTACATTCACAATGAATAACTATTTGAGAACACGTAAATACAGTGTTACACGCAGATTATCTGTTAGAAAACTACCACTCAATGAGTAATAACTAGAAAAAGACTAGTTAGATATTATATCAGCAACGATTTACTCAAAATTTCTCATCTTTCCGATAGGTCAGTCCGTGGCTGGGAAATTATTTCTCACGTCAACCTAATGACTCTCGTAGTTGATGGAAATTTAGCTCAGACACTCGTACAGCTTTAAAGAAGTCCACCCTATTAAGAGATATCTGATTTTGAATTTGCTCAACTTATCGACACAATGTCTATGATTAAACGTCAACACGTGTAATCTCCATAAAAATAGTCGCAGTAAATACATTACTGATCATATGTCTTAGTTTATTCTGATATTGCAATAGTCAAAAGTGTGGTGGTTACATCTTAAAATTAACATACAAAATAGGAAACTAAGGTCAAATCATACTAGCAGGATTGAAATAGTGCCCTTTATAAGTATACTTTTGAGAACTTGCTAGATGAAATACTCAAACAATATATAAAAAGTTTATTAAAAAGTTTTCTGCCTAATTGCCATGAGGAAATCGGATATTAGGTAAGTGCTTCAAACGGGAACATTTGGTTGTACAGCTTTTTAGAGTCCTTATTTTGATCTATTTACCATTGACATGCGATCATTGATTATCAGCTTGTTAAATCAATAACGTGGATAACAAAAGCGACCATTTTATTTCCACCTTTTGATTTTCCACAAGGATATCGGAATTATTTGTATACAGAGGAATACTAATATTATTTTAATATTAGGCTAGTCAAGATAGTGCTTTCTTTTTATGTCTTCTGTGTGCATAGAAAATGTCAGTATGGTTTGTCTTTGTAAAATTACTGAAATCTTTTGATGGATCCCACACAATATATTGTTAAAATTGAAATTTTACTCTGTATAATGTGGATTGAAAGCTGCAATCGCTACAAATATAATGGAGGTTGTTTTTCGGAAATCTACATAGCATTGACGAGTTTCATGTTTCGTTGTGCAATAATTGATAAGGAACGTGTTAAGATAGCTATCCATTGTTCATCTAACTATTCTCAGCAGTTATTTAGCTCCTATTGTCTTGATTCAAAAATGGGTTATATCAATAGCTCTAACGTAACAAAAGAAAAGAACAACAAATTTATGATCTAACGGTAATACTGATACAGTTCCTCCGTATAGGTCAACGTATTAGACAATGAGTGACGATTGTTGAGGCATTACTTGTAAACTATTCAAAGCCAAAATTGAAAGCAAAATTTAATTGTTTGTTGATGAGGTACAGTGGTCTTGAGTGCTGTTAGAGGTATGAGGGCGGTTATGATTCCCCGGTTGCCCACACCGTGGAAGGGTTCTTCTGGAGGTACCTGAATGATACGTCTTGTCGATGAAACGCTATATACGATCCCTAAGCTATTCCGGTAACCCGCAGTCTAGAACTACACAGCGACTTGAACACCAGAAAGAAGACACAAGTATGAGAGAAAATACTTTATCCCAAGGTTCATTTTTGTACAGAAAATCAAGGGTATTTATAGATGTTGGCGTCTGTTAAATCAACATCATATTTCAGCCAATCCGTTAACGTCATATTATGCTACCGACCAATAGTAGCACGCCACGCTGGAATTCTCGAACGTTCCACCATACTCTGATTGGCTAGGACCCTTCGGCTCCTTTTGGGCCTCTAGAGGCTCCGTTGAAGTTCTCCGGAAGCCGACTCAACACTGAAAAGGAAACTGGATTAGAGGTGGTCTTAGTGACCTGAGAGCGTGACCACAGTGCCCAAGGGGCAACTGCTTGAGGTCGGTCACACACGACCTTTTTATGGGTGATTTTTGTGTTAGCTCCATACTTGTTGAGATCTTACCGCCGGAGACGGATATCCGGGGGATAAGGCGAGGTGTGCATTTTTAGGGTCGACCTTTTCTAACCCCACCCCTCCTTGTGGGAAGGCAACATCGCTGTCATGCTGGTTGTCTGAAGGAAACACCTTACTGCTGTCACACCTCTGTACAGTCAGCAGTACGACTTCGCCTTCGGACCTTGGGTTTGTTGCTTTTAGTCTTACCGCTCTTCAACCGACCTGTCTGACATGGTAGGACCTTGAGGAACGGTTGTTTCAGCCAGTATAGCTCGGTTGGGTCATCACGATAGGCAAGCCCGACCACGACGTCGAGGTAGCAACAACGGTCGGGTGTTGATTATTTCTACCAATATAAAGTCGATATGACTTTGTGGTAGTTCTTTGCCAAGGTTCTTTAAAATACATTTTAGACTACTAATGGAAAGCGATATCTCATATCACGTTGATAGTGCTTTACTATATGTGATGAAATTTGGCTATCTATTTTGATTCTATGCGATAAGTTCAAATGCATAGAATGACTCTTCCTACCACTGAGAGATATTTAAGTAAGTTCAGTATGTTGGCTTCAACATACAAGATACAATCCTCACATGTATTTCTCTTAATCGTTTAAAATTCCCACATAAAATCATATGAATGAGTTCAATATACATTTCTATATTTTCATCATAAACAATTAATCAACTGACCCCCAAGTTAGTGAAAAATTTTATTTTCTCACATTTTCCCTCCGATCAGGTGATGGGAGTACATATTTAGCAACAAAGCCCGGAGAATTGTATTATGTTTTAAAAGTAGATTCAACTAATTCTGGATGGACAGCTGTAGTATCTGAAGATGGAACACGTCAAGGTTTTGTTCCAACTGGTTACATCAATTTAACCCTTTATTGAATTGTCACTTTTTATCAATTTGTTAATTTTTGTCATTTCCACCTTCCCCTAATTCTCAATTCAATTTACTGTTAATATGAGTATTACAGCTCTTCCAGTTGAATGAATTAGTATTTTCCTCTGTTCATTAATATTGAAAATAATATATTGGTTTGTACATTCACTCCCCTGACTTAATTATTGACACTTTAATCTTTATTATTTTCAATTATTATCACTACTGTTATGTATGACTATTCTTATTCTCTAATAGTTGACTTTAAGTCTACACAATCAGCTTAATTATTTGAAAATTCCACCTCTGTACACCAGTTACTTTTCACATATATTACAATAAATGTTAAATGTACAATACATTAATCATTTATAACACCTTGAACACTTAACACACTAGTGCCTTTACTCATGATTCACTGCAACTTACTGATTAATGTTATGATTGTATTATCTCATTGTTTTTCTTTTGAATAATGTTCACCTTCTAAAAACGAAAGTCACCTTATCGTTAACATTCAGTTTGATTTTGTATTCCAATATCATTAAATAAAAGTCAACTAGTGGTATTAATTGATTGATCATCTAGTCTTTAATATTTCCAATATAATTTATCCGATTTGTTCATTCCTATTATTGCGTAATCATTAAGCTTGTATTCATTTATTTTTTTTTTCATTTATGAAACATGTTGATAATGTTTCGCAAGATTTGGTTTGCTTAATATGTATTCCGTTTTCTATTATTTTCTTTTATTCAAAAACGGTATACCCTAATTCTTGTACAACATACACTTATGAACAATAAAATGATTTTAAAAACAGGTACTACACTCAACAATTTATTTGCTTCATTGTCTAACTGCTGAATCTATTTTCAATGCATCATATTTGCGAACCTCTACTTGATTTCATTGTTTTTCTCAGCTTTTTGTCTGTTTTTTCCTAACTAATTTTAGCTGACGTAATTTGGTAAATTGTGTGGTTGTATATTTTATGTATTAATTTTTCTACATATAAAGAGGATACTATATATATTGGTGTTTCAGTTATGCTAGATACTAACGCCTTTCTCATCTGTTGATTGGTAAGTGGCATGGTAGCCTTCAATTCACCTTGTAGTTATTTAATAAAACATATGTGTTTACCCTAATCCAAGTATTTGGATTTCTCTTAGTACAAGATTTATACAAATGGTTTTACTACGTTTGTTGTTTATATGACGGCTAAGTTAATTGTTCTTGAATTTAAATATGGATGCCCGGCAGTAGTGACTCAAGACCATTGTCTGTTCCAACGAATGTTATTTCTAAAACTATTTTCTCTTCAGTTCACAACTCAGTAAGAAATAGTTTTTCACAGATTTACAGTCAGATCTGTCTCCGTACTTATGGATGTGGATTAATGTGAAGAGAACATTTTGTTAGATCACCATAAGAATGTCTATCATTTAGGCAGTCTATTTTGTATATAATCATTGATAAATCTCTGATATCACAACTAAACAATAGTATCATTTTAGGAAGATGGTGACAATAGGTTGATACGAATTAATAAACAATGGTAATGAAAATAAGGATATATTGTTGGGAAAGTTGTTATTATTTCGAGCTGACTTTATGTGACTTAATTGTTAATAGTATAAAACATGAAATGTTTTCATGACATGTAAGTAGAAGTGAAGCCACTTCACAATACTCCATTATTGGTTGACAGGATACTATGGCGAATATTAATCTCGTAAGCCTAGAGATATCTTCAGTGAATAAAATACAAATGATAGCATAAACAGATATAATAAAAAGGTGGTATGAATATATCATCAAATACGTTTCGTTATGGTATATTCGAGATTCTACCTATTAGAAGATACATGAAATGGTCTAGGGATTAATATGCTCGGTTCGTTTATTCATACTGTTTTTGTCCTCAGTATTTCCATTTGGGACTGTAGTGCACCGAAATGTTCCATGATTCATTAATTCTTTTGAAGTAAACTAATTAACATCAGAGTTCAGTTTTGTAGCACATAGTTAGTGCTTCAGTGTAATGATATACTACTGATACCAGTAATAAATAACGATTCCGAAATTTAATTGATTATTAGACTTTGTTTAGCCATAGGAAAGGTAGTGTTTCTAGTATTTTGCAGTATTTTCTTGATCGACAGATTAGTCTCAAAGTTCCTCAGGGGGGAATTCGATGGCGTAATGTCATGTAATCCCAGTCCACATCGTGTTAGAGCCTATAACATGTTAGAAGCAGACGAAACAGAGCATGGAACCAAGAAGTTAACACCAGGACTCGGATATATATATATATATATATATATATATATATATAGTTCCTATGTTATATACTCGCATATTGAAGAAATGCATTAAGATTATAGAATGAGACAGAAACTCAAAAGGATAGGAACACGACCCAAAACAGAGCATTAATTGTTATACTTAGGATTGTTTTTGTCAAGATTATTTGTCATAATTATTTTTATCAGGGAAAAAAAGATATCCCGCCATTATCATAGATCAATTAGCAGTTATTTCATTTCAATGGTATTTTAGTAATGAAATGAAAACAGCGTTTGTTTATTTAAACACGACAGGGATATCCGCTATCTTCACAAATTCTAACAAAATGTATCGAACAACTGTTTGTTCCCTAATTTAAGACTCAAAATCAGCGCTTATCGAAAACCCCACTCGATGTAATCTGTGGAAACTCAACAATTTTCACAAATGTCTCCACTATGTGTGAAATGCTTTGCTGTCCTAATTGTGAAGACTGCTTTTCTCAAAATATAAGTTTTGAGGAACATAGGTTCTCAGTTCTTTCTGTGTACTTGTTACTAAAGAACTCGTAAATTCACTAAACAATGGTATATATTTGCAGCTCAGGAAAACGATTTTGATGAAGTTAGTCTCTCTGGATGAATAGTTTAATCGTGATTTTTTAAGTGTATTTCTACATAACATCGGTAGTAAAAAGAAAGTACCACTAAGAAGATTGAAGAACTACCTAGGGATGAAAGTATCTATCAGTCCGTGGAGAAATGTCATCAAAAACCTGTATAGTTAAACCTCTGGTTCTCTGCCTTTGATTATTATCAGAAGAGGTATCTAACAACAATGTCATTTTAGAAAGCGTAGATAATCAGAAGCAGAACAGAACGTTTGGGTAATTAGATGTATCAGAAAACAACCTAAACATTAGCAACATCTCACAAGACTATACGGGTGCAAAACCCATTCAAAACAGATAACTCTGAATATTTATGTGATTTCATCCTAACTATTAATCCAAATGGTTGTACACTCAATATATAGATGGGTGTATTTTCGTTTAGGGTCGTCGTGTTTTGCAGTAAATAAATATTCATCTGTACCAGTTTTGGTGTTCTTACTTCATGTCGTTGTAACTGGAATGGTTCCTCGTTTTACAAGTATAAGTAACAAGTATTTCTGAAATAACAATCAGCTATGATGCAGTCACAACAGATGTGATCATTGTTTAGTAGAGTTCATCGGACTTATGTATCGGACTTGTAATTCATCAACTGTTTAATGACACTCAACCCTACTATTCTTTTAACTTTTTACTATGGTGATGACTAACTTCTTGGCAATTACATCACTGTACCATAGTGTTATCTATTTTGTTTATAATTCAGATGTATTATTATTATTAGAAGCTTTATTCGACATCATATTTTTGGTACAACATAGAATTCTCAGCATAAAGTATTTCAACAAGTTTCCTTTTCTTATACCTTGATCGATTGTGACGATAAATTTTGAATGATGACCAGTTAGATGTTAGAAGTTCGGTAATCCACATTTGATTACTGTTCATTTGTTTCAATGCATATTGCCAGCAACCATGATGTCTCTGTACCTTTTTGTATCCCGTATAGCGAAAGGTTGTAAACTTTTCATAAACGCGCCTGAGTAGGTTGTGCGCACAATAGACATTGTGATGTGCTAAAACAAACAACAAAACAGATAACTTGATGAAATATCTAGATCGGTGGAACAGGTAGCCCAGATATTCAAGCAGGCCACCGGTTGATTAAACTTTAAAAAACCAGATACAGTTATTTCAACAGATTATATTGTTCATATTATAAAGTACGTCGTGCATTTGAACCAAAAAAAATTATCTTCGTTATTCTAGTGGACACACATGGTAAACGACATATAATGTTGCATAAAGGATTTAGTTATAATTAAGATTTATTGTTCACATTCTTGATGGTTTTTATCACTTCAAAATCATGCTTATACACAATTATACAGCTTCATAGGTAATAGTATAGGGCATCATATTCTGAGTTTGCGGTTCAGTGTTACCATCCATTCGAAAAAAAGTTTTGTGTTGATGTATTGGATTAATATTAAAATTCGTTCAAAGAGTATCAGCAGAAGGGTAATGGAGGAGGGTTGGGCATGGGGTCGGCAGTCCGATCAGGTAGAAAACATAACTGTTACGAAAACGCTAATCACAATAAAAAATTCAACCACTTAAAATCTTTCCTCCGAGTTGAAGGAAGAATTGTGATGCCTCATAGTGAAAGCCTATATTTTTCGGAAGTCACATGGCGTTCTCGAATGCCTGTATAGTCTCTGCTGAAAGATGGAATGTCGCGACATGTCCTCGTGTGACGTCCGTCAGTGGTTACAACAACAATCGTCTATAATAATGTATTAGCCCCAGAAACCGTCGATATTTTTTGCGAATCGTAAACTGATAGCCGCAAATAGCAGCAACGTCTGCCGGAACTGTTGTAATACTTTGAGAAGTTACGATTTGACACCAGATTTGCAAGAACCTATTTCAAAATACACACTTCTCAACGGTGATTGAGATGCCATACGTATATACCCCTAGCAAACCTTTAAGAGCTTGATCAATAAACCAGTGTAAAGTTTGTTCTGCATTAGCTAATGTGAATGGCATGCGCAGAAATTCATATAAACCAAATGAAGTAGCTACTGATGTCGTGGA